TAATAAAAAAAAATACTTAACTTTCGATTCGTAAGTTAACAGTGCCTGTTCAGCCTTTTTTCTTTTTTCTCTAGCATTCCTGATTAATTATATACCTAAAAAAATAATAAAGTTTAGTTTATTTTAGGACTTGCAAATTTTTATCAATGATAATCATGTGACTTTGGATCAGTAAATTATGTAATACACGCGAATACGCGTATGATGTCTGAAGGCACTTCTGCAAAGTGGGAACGAAATTTTATAGTTTTGATCAGCCCGAAGAATGGTGCCTCTTAAACTTTTTAAAGTACCTTGATTCGGGGAAGAGTTTGGACGACCGTTCTGAAGCGCATCAGAAGTATAAACTTCTTTTGAATAGTATCAAGGATAATAAAGAAATGTCGGAAGAAAAAAGAAAAAAGGCTGAACAGGCACTGTTAACTTACGAATCGAAAGTTAAGTATTTTTTTTTATTATTGTTCAATATTATCGTCTAAATGAAGGAGGAAGGAGTGTCGGTTGAGGCTGAAGAACCCTACCATCGAGGTGGTAGGCACTCGTGCTAGGTTGAGGCTGAAAAACCTCCGTCGAGGCGGAGGGTGCACCTCTGGATAGTTTTTAACGCTTAAAAATAAGTACTAGACAATCTCAATAAATTCCAATAACTAACAATTTCTTTGGCTTTTCGAATGAATCCCGTTCTTTTGAGATTGGAGAATTTTGGCTTCGAATATCTCTTAATGAAAAGGCTACGAAAAGTACCGAAAGAATTATCGACAAAATTAATATAGTACAATATGAAGCGAGCAATGTTTTATTTCTCAACAAGAGGGACAATCTTAGGAGACTACGGTCAGGTATTTTATTGTTAGATTTATAGTTCTCACTATTTTTCTTTGTTGGTTCAGTTGATTTCTTTACATTAAATAGATTTTGAAATTGGAGACAATACCAAAGGAGATGGTTGACTGGGAAAGGTACAGTATATAATAAATCAAGTAAACGGCGCATTGCTCAAAAATAATGACCGAACTTATTATGTTATAGAATGAACCTGATCGGCCATGTACACCGAAGATAAAGTAATTTTATTTTTCTATTATGTTTCATTTTATAGTCCACTTCATCTTTTGGATGTGCATAGATTAGAACCGTCACTTCAGCGATGAGCCCTCCTCAGTTCCCAGGTTCACAGAAGATCAAAATGAATCGGAAGAGGTAATTATCCCTTTTTGTTATATGTAGAGGATATTATTAAGTTCTGGGAATTTCTGACTTTAGGAATTTGAATCCGAGGAATCTGAACATGAGGGACCAGAACATGAGGAATCTGAATCCGAAGGGTCGGACAAGGTTTACCTTAAAACTCAGGATTACGCGAATAAGAAGGAGAGAAAGCTGAGTTATAGATGTTTATCATGCCATTTTGAAAGTAAACAATTTTTTTTACTGTTTTATGTAGTCGGGGCCATTCACGCTGAGCGATGCAGGACGAACAGAGATCGAGATTGCTTATACGAAGATGAAGCACAACATGTGGAAATTATCAAGTGGAAAGTTTGTAGAAAAGCTTTATAATATCGGGAAGCAACTGGAATTCGAACAGTAGGTTTTAGGATACAAATTAACCTTACATGTGGTAGAAATATATAATTTAATGTAAATGTGTAGATTAGTTCTGTTAGTTCTTTTATAATAGACACTGACGATGAAATAATTAAAGAATACTTTAGTGAAAATGAACTGAGGAAATAGATGATGCGCCAGTCCCAGAGGTTCAAGACTTCCTCATAACTTAATTGAATACTTAAAGAAGTTTAAAAACGTAGTAAGTTATAGATTGAGTAATTGATAAATAGTCTCAATGCATACAAATGATGTTTACACTAACTTTTTTCTGGCAGACCAGTACAAAGGAAGTACGTTCCCTAATTAACGAGCACGATAATCGATTCAACGCAAGTTACGATTCCTCCATCCACCATTATCTAGACTACATTCGATTCGCACTTTATGCATTGTAAGTAAGTTTCTGTGTGTTTACATTAGAAAATTTGCCTGCATTACGATGTTTTCGTCAATCTAATTCCCGTAAACATTCTTTATATAGAGTCAGAGAAATTGAGAATGGCGGACTTACACAACCGAATCTAGAATCATGTTATAATTGCCACATTTGGCATGCAATTGTTGACCAAAGCTTTGCAGATATTAAGGGGACGTCAGTTGTTAGGTAACAAATTAATCATGATTTATTTTCACGCATAATTATTACTACATTTCCTTATTGTCGTCCACGTTGTCTAGAGGGGAAAGTACATGTATCGCAACGGCGAACAGAAAAGAGAGATAACACAAAGGCGTAAAATGGGACGACGAGGGGATTGATTAACTGGGAATGGTGACCGTGATGAATATGGGATGGGTGAAGTAGGGAGACATTGTGATGATGAATTTGGAACGAAATTTTTGAGTGAAACATCCTTAAAGCAAGTCAAACTCATGAAAAAAAACCGATTGGGATACCGTTAAGTGCGAAATAACATCCATGAGCGTTATTTTGAAAATGGTTCTTAAAAAACAAACTTTTATTTTAAAATAACGCACATTTCTATATAAAATATATCATTTAATATAAAAAAATTTTATTTAGTAAATCCTATTTTCTATTTATTCGTAATTATTTATTTCTATCATTTTTCAAAATCCTTCTCTTCATCGGTTTCATCATCATAACTTGTTTCTATCAAATTTTAAGATCTAATTTATCAGATGGTAATATATCATCCTTACTTAATAATTCTTCTATATTAACATCATTTATACGATTTTCAACAATAGCTTGAAGTCAATCTGTCATTTTATAATCTTCATTACTGTTAGTATCTAGTATAAGTCCAACTATCTCAAATGATTTTGCCAAGAGTTCGGTATTGATTTCTTTTCATGTTTCTGACACCCATTTACAAAGTAACTCAAGAAATTTTATACAATTTCTATTTTTTGTAAATTCTTTTTCTTTATTGCTTATCCATTCTTCTCATTTTCTTCTCATTTTTAATTTAAATAGTTTATTTACTGAAATATCTGTGGATTAAAACACTATTGTTTTACTAGATATTTTTATAATGGTTAAGTTTTCCAATGTTAACACTTTCATTACATTTTCATATACATGACTGCCATAACAATAAACAAATATCACATCTTTATTTTTAAAAAATTTATCTGAGCTAGCTCTAATAACTTAAGAAATATAAGTAGCAAGCATTAAATCTCCATATATATTTGCATAAGTTATTATTGTTACAATAATATCTTTTAAAAATTTTCATTTTGATATTTTTGCTAACTTGGATATTATTTATTGATAGATGTTTTTTTTCAGAAGCTATATATTTTAAAATAATTGTAAAATATAACTTATTATTTTTTATAGTTTTAATTGGCACTTAATATATTTCATAAGAGTCAATAGTTAACTTTTTAGGCACATTGAATTACATTAAAGTTTTATTAAAAGTAATAATAAAATTTTTTTTAATATTTTTTTGTTTTTTCATATGAATATTGAAGAAAGTCTTTAATAATTAATAATACATCCTCAGAAAGGTTTTGTGTTACTTGTATACAACTATATACTAAATGATATTGATGTCTAAACCATTTGATCCAATAATATAAAGTTTTTAAATTATTAAAAGTCAATAATTTGTCTAATTTTTTAATCTTTTTTTAATTCAAAATATTGTAATTGCATTTTATTTCTTTCACATATTTTTAATAAACTTTATCAATTCTTTTTTAATTTAGAATACATTGTTTTTTAACTATATTTATCAATTATTAGTATATAATTCGAATTTAAATTTAAATTATTTTTAATAGTTTTAAGCTTTGATTTTTATTATTTTTTTGAATATATTTTTTACCTATATTATAATATATTGATATATTATAATTGAATATACTTCTAGCATAAAATATTATTTTAAGCTTAAAGGATACAATATAGCCTTATTTTTTATCAGAATTTTTATTAAAAATTATATAATATAAGAAATAAGAAAAATAAATATATATATTATATTAGTAAATGATATAGTAATAAATATTTATAAATATATAAAAATATTGAACAATATATCAATATATATATATATAGTATATTAAACACTAGCTCATTCTTATATTAAATTAAATGATTTTATTAAAATAAGAAAAATATCTAGAAAAAAATGAAATAAATTATTATTTATACTATCTAAAAATTTACAAATAAATAAATAGTACAAAAAACAAACCATTTATACAGTATTTTACTTAATCAAAATAAAATAATTATATAATTATTTAATATAAATAATCTACTTATAAATAAATAATATAAAAAAACAAAAAGATATAAAATTTACACTATTAATTTTTTATTTTATACATAGGTGTTCTTTAGAATATGACTTAAATCAATTTATTAAGTAATTTATTACTATCTTAAAAGAAATAAAAAGAGACTAATATATTAAGAATTCATTTAAGATATTTAATATTACTAATATTAAAGACCCATATAAAGTTTTGACTTCATTAACATTTAATTAAAAAGTTTTAAAAATATATTGTATTTAAATTGAGTTTTGTCTAAAGGAATATAATATTGTTTAACCACTTTTTCCTTAAAAATTTTCTTTTTTGATAATTTTCTTGGAAAAGAGAACCAGCCTAAAAATATTTTTTTCCTCAAAGATTCAAGACTTAATAACAAACTAGACCATCCAACCATTCCTCCAAGAGATCACTTTATCGATTAAAAGAAGTTTTGGCAGTACAGCATTATACTAGCTTTATTTTACAAGAGAAGGAAAACACATCTGCAAGCTGATTCACAATAAACTTAGGAGAGCTCAATATCAACTTCTCAAGCTTCTAGCCAGGCCAATGACAGTTTACACATTTCTAGGCATTAGAAGAAACTTTACAAACAATAGTTCCTCCTGATAAATCAGGAAAACTC